GTCAGCAGTTCGAACCGGCCTGGCCAACATGGAGAAACGCCATCTTTACTAAAAATACAAAAATTAGGCAGGCATGGTGACACATGCCTATAATCCACATGCCTATAATCTTAGCTACTTGGGAGGCTGAGGCAGGAGAACTGCTTGAACCCAGGAGGTGGAGTTTGCAGTGAGCGGACATCGTGCCACTGCACTCCAGCCTGGGCGACAGAATGAGACTGTGTCCCAGGGAAAAAAAAAAAAAAGAATTACTTTTAAAAAACTATAAAATTTAAATTATAATCAAAGGCTTTAATGTAAATAGTATAAAATAAGTCTTTTTCATTTCTTATCTTTGCCTGCCCTCTAATTAATTAGTTTATAAAATCAAACAACTGTCACATCATAACCCCTAATTCAACAAATGAAGTTCATTTTCTCATTTTTTCTAAGGTAGTATCTAGCCTTCCCAGTTCCACAAGCGGCCAATGTTTTTCTTAAACAAAGAGTTCCTTTTTCCTTCATATTTAATGTATTTTTTATTGATTATATAATATCTGAAATATCAATTACTTAGTTCTTAAATGATATTGAAATCTTTCCTCATATTTTAATGCTTATTAAATGGGAAGCACTGATAGTGCTATTTACAGAGTGCACAAAACTGAAAAATAACATTCTCAAGTAATTCCTATTCCCATCTCAAATTAATCATAATTGAAGATTCTTTGTGGAATTGATACTTTTACAATTTTAAGAAAAGTTTAGCAGTAATTTAAGAAGAGTTTAGCAATAAAAAACACCAATTAAAAGTTGAATATTAAGTAACATTTTTGAATTAAACAAGCTCCCAGTATCAACAGTTATGAAGTCTATACCAACACAATTTTTAAATTATGACTTAGATCTTTAGACATTATTTCAGGAAGAAAGTCTCAGAAAATGAGAACATATGTTCAAATCCAGTGCTAGTTTCTTCAATACCAAGAAGCTAATCACCAATCTTTCACTGTAACAATTTAACATTGTTTGATTTTACAAATCCAGTTTCCCATAACTTACGTTAATTTTTTAAAATTAAATTCAAATCACTTCAAACTATAAGCATTTTTACAAGACTTTCACCACACCCTTTGAGCGTACATGGCTGTAACCCAGGAAGCTTGAGAGCTGAGGCATTTTCTGATTACTCTGTCTTTCTACAAAGAATAAGCATTATACCAGTAGACAATTCCACAGCTCACAAAAACACTGGAGTCAGGAAACTCATATGAAATGACAGCTTAGTATGCTATTGTACGTAATTATACGACAAGTCTGTATTCGTTCATGTGTGTATTTATTCAGCATTTACTGAGCCACCTGTCCTTTATCAGCCACTGCCCTTGAGAAGTTCATTATCTAAAGAGCAGTAAGTCATGTAATTATACATATTTTAATACCACATGTAAGGTGATACAATGTGACATATATAAATTCCTCTGACCTACTCATTCTGACACACATATAATCTAGAACCCTGCTAACTAAAGTGTGGTCCACAAACCACCAGAATTGGTGTCACCTAGCAGCTAGTCAGAAATAGAGAATCTCAAGTTCCACCCCAAAATCTACTGAATCACAATCACAATTACCTGGGGAACATTTTAACAAGCTCCTCAGATAACTCTAATGCACATTTAAATTTTGAGAAGCACTGAACTAGAACATAACTGAAAATCGGCAAATGATGTCAAAGAGTCCACGTACTTTTAAGATCTTCAAGGTCCATCCTGAGCCTTTTTAAGATTATATTTAGGGCCGGGCGCGGTGGCTCAAGCCTGTAATCCCAGCACTTTGGGAGGCCGAGGCGGGTGGATCACGAGGTCAAGAGATCGAGACCATCCTGGTCAACATGGTGAAACTCCGTCTCTACTAAAAACTACAAAAAAATTAGCTGGGCATGGTGGCGGGTGCCTGTAATCCCAGCTACTCAGGAGGCTGAGGCAGGAGAATTGCCTGAACCCAGGAGGCGGAGGTTGCAGTGAGCCGAGATCGCGCCATTGCACTCCAGCCTGGGTAGCAAGAGCGAAACTCCGTCTCAAAAAAAAAAAAAAAAAGATTATATTTACAATTTTAACAAATTCAATGACTTAGTTTCACAGACTAGGAACAAACTGAGATACCACTGACAACAAAAAAAGAAAATAGGAAAAACTTACAAAAAGCAATTTCAAAAAGGGATGGCTGTGTGGAGTCATTTAACATAGCAACAATTTGTCTAGATAGGCCCTAAAGGTCTCACCATATTACAATAACACAAAAGTAATCGATGTTCTCGAACATGCCTCCTGTATCTAGATCATAAATTCCTTCAGGACAGAGACCTAGTTTTATCCTTAAATTACACTTACATTTGTAAACTGAATGACCCAAGTCATTAAGATGAGTTCAAGCTAGGCAGTAAGATATAGGATACCTTTTAGAAATAATTCCATCTGACAGAGTTAAAATAAAAACATTTACTCCAAAAAAAAAAAAAAAAAAGAAAGCAAGAAAGAGAGGGGGAGGGAGGGAAAGAAACAGGAAGGAAGGAAGGGAGGAAGGAAGGGAGGGTAAAACACCAGGATGGATGGGGCACACCTGTAGTTCCCAGCTATTCAGAAGTTTTGAGGCCAGCCTGGGCAACCTGAGACCTTGTTTTTTTAAAGCGAAGCAAAACAAAACAAAGAGTAAAGCATCCCCATTCTATAACCCATTCCCCAAGTACTCTAAGAACAGAGGCTTTTACTGAACCTATATTTCCCAATCCCAAAGTCTTGTGACTTTATTCAAACCCTCTTCTGGCAGCTGATGAGGAAAGTGCAAGGAGAAAAAGGAGAAAAGATTAGAAGAGGATGGAGGGAAACTAGAAATCACTGACCATCTCAGGGTTCCTCCACTCATGAAAATAAAACCAGCAAAAATACAAAGACACAGCAATCCTAAGAACAAATGCTATCTCTACAAAACATTCATTCCATGTCCTCTGCCCCTGTGAATCAGAGACATGCTCGCAAGCCCTCTAACCTAAGAACTCCCCAGAGACACCTTAAATATAGAAACATTTCCTCTCATGGCCCTCAACGAGCTGATTACCGCCAGTTTATGAAAAAATTCACTGTTCCAAGACAGCAAACTTAAGGCTATAACCAGCTAGGTCACTTTCTGAAAACTGTTGTAATGTCTGTCACTGATTCTTAAAGGTTCCTTTAACAAGTTAAAATTTTTTAATATTTTCCAGACCTACTTTTTTCTCCCGCAATTCTTGCAGGATACTGGAAGCTAAAAGACCTATTTTTCTGCGACTTCTCTCCAACCAGGTAGTTCTCATTCTTATTCTCAAAACAAATTAATTCTCTTGTCTATGTCCTTGCTTATGCTGTTACTCCATTCAGAGGCCTTTACCGTCTCTTAATCTGATTCCGCACTATCTATTAGCCACAAGCCATGTATGGATATTTAATATTTGAAATGTGGTTAGACCAAATTGAAACATAGAGTAGATGTAAAATGCACATTGGATTTTGAAGACGTGGCACAAAAAAATGTAAAATTATCTAATTTTTTAAACAATGATTACATGTTTAAATATGCTAATTAGATTAAACTGATCTCACCTGTTTCTTGTTAGTTTTAAAGCTGCTACTAGAAAATTTTAAATTACAATATGTGGCTTCCATTAGACAGCACTTGGTTTCAATCCTACGCATTCTTCAAAGCCTAATTGAAACACAGCTGCTTTCATGACGCTTACCCCCAATGACTCCAACTGGAAGTGATTTGTGCCCCACCCTCCACCGCCGACCTCCCAAAACACTTAAAATCACACTCCCAAAGAATGAGATTAATTTTACCTTGTTATACCTCCCAAACTCCAACATAAGCAAGTTGAAGAAAAAAACTATATCTAGATCATCATGACGTTTTCCTTGACACGTTGGAGAGCCCACACACTAAGGTAATGTTTGATGTGTGCCAATGGAGAGCTAAATTTCTCAATTACTAATTATCTATCCCTTTCAACGAGTTCCCTTATTTTCCTCTGTGATTAAAGTCAATGTCTATGAATGTCCTGTATTATTTTTAGAGTGCCCAAGAGGGTACACATATAATGAACAAGCAAATCCAAAACTAATAAATATGGCCAATACACTTAGATCAATTGTAAAACTTAGACAAGCCTCTAAAGGTTCCCTTTTTAAAAAATGACGTTTTACAACATAACTGTGTTGTGAAGATCAACTATTTCAAAAGTAGAAGCGTTTCCCAAAGATTAACTCTGGGTGAGCAGTTTACCAAAAAATTATTGATGGTCCTACGCCACAATCCCGAGTATAAATCAGGTAAGCATGCAAACGCTTGGGTGCAGCAAGAGCAAAGCCCCACATTGCATCTAAAGCTCAGAAATCGAGCTGTGAGAAAATGTAGCAGGGGAAAAGACGACTTGCGTGAAGAAAATGCATGATGAAAACTGTTGGAACGCAAAACGAGGTAACAGCCAGGATTTTTTTTTTAAAGTATCCCGACGACGTGGAAGGGATCCTCCTTGGGTGTATCGCTCAACCTCTGAACCCCCAGGCAAAGGCTGCAGTGGTCATTTTGTCTTTTCTTCAAATTGTATTTTAGTGCCTCAGATCTGCATCCAACAAACTTCCGTCTTCAGCCTACTCCAACTCCCACAGCAGGGACTCCGGCCAAAGCCAGCCCTGAAGCCACCCTCTCCAGCACACTTTGGAGACTGATGGACGACACGGGAGGACCGTTCTGAGGCCCAGCACCTGGATGACCCCAGGCTCTCAGGGAGTCCCACCCCGGCTCCCTGGGCGGAACCAGGCAGGCTGGGGGCACCCGCAGGCAGAGGGGGCGGGGCAGGGCATCGGACTTCGCCCAGGACCAGCCTCTCGGTTCCATGGCGACGCCAGATGGCGCCTCGGGGACCGGCAAGATGGTGAGAAGCAAAAATAAAGGGGCACTGGGAATCAGCCCCGGTTTTCACTCACCAGACGTCGCCGCTCGACGTTGGCAGTGGCAAGACCTCCTCTCCTTCCGCCATTGCTGTTGACGTCCACGTCACTTTGCCGAAAAGTGGACCCGGCGCTGAGACCGACTCCGAGACCCAATGTCGTAAAAGGTCTTCGGAAGTCCGGCACTGAGCTTCCCCGAAGAAAGAGGGAGGTGGCTAGGGACGGGAGGAACGCAACGTCACGGCGTCCCGAGGGCGAAAGGCAGCGTCTTGCGGGAGGAGACTTGGTGGAGGCAGCTGCCCCTCCAAAGACTACAGGTCCCATAATGCCGGGGTGCTGCGGGCGGGGCGGGGCGGGGTGGGCGGAGCTCAGCGGGAGCCATCCCAGTTGGAGGCGGTGCGTGACAACAGCGTCGCTTTTTGGCGTCCTGTTAGCGTCTTCATTCCAGCTTGGCGTCGAAATTACCAAAGTTAGAATTTGGAGTCCTAACTATTGGGGAAAGGAAGGGAAATGGGAATTGACACAGGGAAGGTGCCCGTAGGTGCACAATTCAGTAATGTCCTGCTGTGGCAATTCAAGTAGAAAAAAGAATGGGGTGTAAGGACAGACCACCCTATTTTTGAGGCCCACATACTTTACGCGTAAGTATTTAAAAGTTGTAAATCAAGCTAAATAGTAAAGGAGATACGTTCTAGCCTCCCAACTTAAACATATCTTTCTAACAGCCTGGAAGATCAAGGCCGGATTTAGAATTCTAGGACTGGAATTCCAGGCAAGGAGAGCTACCAAAACCCTCTTCCCGTTCCGTGGAGGGCAGACGCTTGGCCACCGCTGGGGCCACGCTCAGTTGGACGGACCTAAGGAAATGCTTTTGCAAACCCTGAAAACAGTGTTGAAGGAGAACGGTATGTAACAACATGGATACATCCGAAAAATGCACTGTTAAATGACCAAAACAGATTGCAGACGGATAGGTTAAGGATGGTATCATTTATATTTCGTGTTTAAAAGACAGTATATTAGGAATAGATGCATATGAGCTTAAAATGCAGGGGAGGGCTATCTAGAAAAATCGGAATGGCAGTTATATTCAGGGAAAGGGAGGAGTTTCCATTAAATTTTTAATTTTTTTTTTTTTTTTTTTTTTTTTGAGATGGAGTTTCGCTCTTGTTACCCAGGCTGGAGTGCAATGGCGCCATCTCGGCTCACCGCAACCTCCACCTCCTGGGTTCAGGCAATTCTCCTGCCCGAGCCTCCTGAGTAGCTGGGATTACAGGCACGCGCCACCATGCCCAGCTAATTTTTTGTAGTTTTAGTAGAGACGGGGTTTCACCATGTTGACCAGGATGGTCTCGATCTCTTGACGTCGTGATCCCCCCACCTCGGCCTCCCACAGTGCTGGGATTATAGGCGTAAGCCGCCGCGCCCGGCCTAATATTTTATTTCTTAAGGGCCCAGAGGTGGCCAAATATTCTTTATACAGTCTGTACTTCGGTATCTAAAATGTTTCAAATTTTTAAAAACGATTTTATTAAACACAAAACATAGCACAGCTATCTCATTTACAACCAAAAACATGTTCACTCTCTTCCCCAAAGGGAAATAATACAGATTTGCGTGGTAGTGCGCCCACTTCCAAGCCCCGAATCTCTGTGATGTTCAGTCCTTCGTTGGGGAACATTTCTTTTAACATAGAATGTGACTTTAGATGCCTCTATCAAAAAGAATAAAAGACGTGAATCTAGGTCACATTACCATCCTAATATTCAGGACCTCCCCTGGGTCCCTTCAATTGTTGCCAGTAGGTTTTAAGAAACTTTTCAGAAAATGGTTTTTAAAACTATTCAGCCACGGACATGAGAAGCAGTTGTTCACTAGTTAAGATTCTAGTCCTCAACTGTGATTCATTCGAGTATAATTAAATCAGCAACTGCTTTATAGTCTCTGGTAAAAGTGTTTTTCCATTAAAAATATGTCACTTGACATTTTTAAACCATTTATTCTGTATAAGTTGAAAGTTCTGACTTCTGTGTTCTTTAATAGAGCCAGAGCCATCTTCACGGGCATGTAGTCTATGCGATACTATGAGACCACATGCTTAGAAGAACTCTGTGCTTGATTTAATGCTCTGGTGTTGCCATCTTTAAATGCTTACTAATTTGGGAACAAGGAGTCACTGGTTTTCATTTTACACTAGGCCTTACAAATTAGGGAGCCAGTTCTAGATAGGGTCAATATCTTAATGATATATAACCCACTGGGGACAAGATTTCAGCTGAAACTGTTTAGTGATGGTATTTCTGGGGGATTTGGATCATTTGTTCTTTTGTTCTTTTTTTTTTTGAGACAGAGTCTCACTCTGTCACCTAGGCTGGAGTACAGTGGCATGATCTTGGCTCCCTGCAACCTCTGCCTCCTGGGTTCAAGTGATTCTCCCATCTCAGCCCCCGGAGTAGCCAGGACTACAGGCGTGTCCCACCATGCTTGGTTAATTTTTATATTTTTAATAGAGACGGGTTTTTCCATGTTGGCCAGACTGGTCTTGAACTCCTAACCTCAGGTGATGCACCCACCTTGGCCTCCCAAAGTGCTGAGTTAGATGTGAGCCACCACATCCAGCCTAGTTGTTCTTTATTCGTCAGCCTGTTGTAAGTTCTACGGAGTATTCGCTCCATGGTAATGATATTCAAGATCATGGTGACATCCTTTTTCCTCCAGTGATAATTCTAGAAATCTAGCTGCGAGGTCAAGTAGTACATGAAACTTGGAAGGCCTTTAACTCCTCTTTCTTTATTATTACTTATTTTTATTTTTCTGAGACAGGGTCTTACTCCCTCAAGTAAAATTTGTTAAATTATTATAATGGACCTCTGCTTAAAACAAAACAAAAGGCCGGGCACAGTGGCTCACACATGTAATTCCAGCACTTTGGGAGGCTGAGGTGGGTGGATCAGGAGATCGAGACCAGCCTGGCCAACATGGTGAAACCCCATCTCTACTAAAAATACAAAAATTAGCTGGGTGTGGTGGCGCATGCCTGTAGTCCCAGCTATTCAGGAGGCTGAGGTGGGAGGATCACTTGAACCCAGGAGGCAGAGGTTGCAGTGAGCCAAGATCGCACCACTGCACTCCAGCCTGGGCGACAGAGCAAGACTCTGTCTCAAAAAAAAAAAAAAAAATACTTTTAAAGAACTAGAGAAGATTTAATTATGAAATCATTCTTTAAAGTCTTCAAAATCATTCTGCATGTCTCAAAAAAATACTTTTCAATTATGAAATCATCTGCTTGAATTTTTTAAACAATTTTTCTCTCCTGATTGTAAGATTTCATCAATGATACTAGGTGTTCCATCTTCTTTTGTATTTCTTTTTTTTTTTTTTTTTTTTTTTTTTTTTTTTTTTTTTTTTTTTGAGACGGAGTTTCACTCATGTTACCCAGGCTGGAGTGCAATGGCGCGATCTCGGCTCACCACAACCTCCGCCTCCTGGGTTCAGGCAATTCTCCTGCCTCAGCCTCCTGAATAGCTGGGATTACAGGCACGCACCACCATGCCCAGCTAATTTTTTTTGTAGTTTTAGTAGAGACGGGGTTTCACCATGTTGACCAGGATGGTTTTGATCTCTTGACCTCGTGATCCACCCGCCTCGGCCTCCCAAAGTGCTGGGATTACAGGCTTGAGCCACCGCGCCCGGCCTTTTGTATTTCTTTATATCCCTCTGGAGCAGAGAGAGTTAGAATCTCTTTTTCTCATAGGCCTGGTGCTGTGCTAAGGTGTTACTATAGTGGTGATCACTGGATCTGTACACAATACAGCCATTCCAAGATGTATCTCCAAGAAAGGGGCATCCAAGTCTACATCATCCATGTGAGGTATGTCCCCTGCCTGCATTTATGCATCCAATTGCAATTCCCACATCCAAATGGGAAGGTGTGGTACTATTCCATGTGATCCTTAGATAAAATCAAAGTGATTTCTTATAAAGGGAAAATTAAAATGCCTTTGTTTTAAATGAAATTGTAGAGAATATAAAAAGATTTTTCATCTATTGTTTGGTGTTCTGTGCCATATAATTATGTAATTTATACTGTATTACATGTACTTAATTTCCACCATGCCTATGACACATAGTAGAGTCTCCATAAATGTTTGTAAAATGAACTAGGGACTTTTTTGAAATACTTTTGTAATGGATTAAGCTATTCACCTATACAAAAATGTCTGGTTGGGATCAGAGACAGGTAAGGATTATGTACTCATCTGCATGGTCATAGTTGTTATGTGAGTAGAGTTTACTTCTGTTTTCATTGTAATATTATTTTAGCATGTGTTAAAAAGAGATGAAATGATTATAGCTCTTGATCATTTATTCCATGTTCTTGCCACATACTCCTGACTTTTTTGCATTCTTAGGTAAAAACAAAGGCCTAATAAGATGTTTTAATCTGCTGGCCAACAAATTACCCCAAAACTCAATGTCTTAAAGCAATAAAAACTTAACCCACAGGTTCTGTGCATCAGGAAATTAGAAGCAGCTGAGCTAGATGTTCTGGCTTAGGGTCTCTTGAGGTCGGAGGCAAGATACTGGCCAGAATTGCAGTCATGCAATCATCTAAACACATCAGTGGGACTGGAGGATCTAGTTCCATGGTGGCTCACTGACATGCCTGATGAGTTGGTGTTGGCTGTTAGCAGCAAGCCTCAGAACCTCCCCAAATGAGCCTCTCCATGGGCTGTTTGAACATCCTCTTGACGTGCTGGCTGGCTTCCCACAGAGTAAGTGTTCAACAGAGACCCAAGATTGAAGCTATAACATTTGTTTATTACCTACCCTCAGAAGTCGTAATTTCTGCAATATCTTATTGGTCAGCTTTGTTCTACGTGGGAAGAAACCAAAACAAATGCTTGAATCCCAAAGGCAAGAAGTACTGGGGGTCATCTCAGAGGCTGGCTGCCACATGAAGTAATATTAAATCCTGCACATTCTTCCCTGTCCAGTGAAACTTGCCCCTGAGATTCCTGCTCATATCATCTCAGCCCTTCTTACATTCTGTCACCTCTGACCTAGTTTAGGATCATCAACACGCACTCTTATCTGGGCACTGAATCATATAGCATCTTATATTCTTTAACTTTGAGAATGACAACTGTTTTTAAGTTCCTCTGTAGCCTCCACTGCACCAAATGCAGGACTGAACATATAGCTCGTGCCTAAGAGTTCTTGTTAAATAACAAAATGTTGATTTTTGTTTCTACAGCTATTGTGTGAGAGTTTCAGAATTCTAAACTTTCCCAAGAATTTCCCTTTTTATCTTACAAGGACAAATGTTTTCAAAATTACTTCAGTTATTTGTCATTTTTAAATCCCATCAGGACCTGCATTCCCAGACTCTTTAAACTACTGAAGCTTAACATTTAATTGAATGATGAACAAAACCAAGTTAATTCTCATTCACAGATGACAAGTGAACAGTTGGCAGCAATTTCAACATCTGCTTTTAATTCATTTTAAAATGTTGAGCAAACTGATATTTAAAAAAAGAGAGTTGGAAACTCTGTTTCTCCGTTATCTTTCTAGTAGTTGTCTTCACTAATTAAAGTTGACTCTAAATAGGTAGACCCAAAGTAAACATTTGTATAGGGATTGACCAATTCTTAGGTTTGGGATGTTTGCACTTTAATGTAGGAGTCTGTTTAACCCTTCGCTCGTTCCAATTTTGTTCCCAAGTATTCCAGCCAAAAGATTTTTGGAGGGTTGAGTAATTCCTGGTTGGAAATAGGGATATTAAATAATATATTAGCTGGAACTAGCCTTAGTTTTTACAACTTAACTTCTTGCTTTTTCATGAACTAACAGCTCTAAGGACACACACACACACACACACACACACACACTCACACACACACAGGCACAATCTGAAAATAGTACCCTTTAGACAATGACAGTGCTATTCTTGATGTATAGTTTATCTCCATTTGTCTCGTATAGTTATATTCATTCATCCTTCCTTTTTGGCATATGTACGTCTTGCCAAATAAAATCATTAGCAAGGAATCATCTAAGATAATTGGATGGAATTGCATGATACAAGCTTTTAACAATGTGTGTTAAAAATATAGGTATATGTTACAGTTTCTCCAAATATGTTACTTACAAGCTGATTTCTCTAATACCCAGGCTAAATTGTTCAGCTTGTCACTGTTATTTTCACGTCTCAAATTTGCATAAGAAAAATACAAAAGTAAACAAAAAGAATTTTTAGCATATCATGAACATAAAAATGACTGCAGCTATAAAAGCATCCAAAAGTTTAAAGAATTTATTCTGTATAATTTTGCTCACACTTTTTTTCTGGACAATAATAAATTCTCTGTTGTTAATTCTCACCTATAATCTGATAACTCCTATATCTCCATTTCCATCCCATTATTCCTATAATAATGTTACCATAAAAAATTATTTTTAAAATTATTGATATATTCAGAGCATTCTGTGATAATTATCAGCAGAGACAAAGCCCATTTATCTGCAGCCTGTTTGTCTACCTTCAGTTTAGATAGATATTCAAAAGAAAAGAAAGAATAATCTTTTTTTTTCTTTTTTTGCACTCTGCATATATAAATCCAGCCATCCACTGGGCGCTTGCACTTGGATGACAGACATTGCAAACTCAACCTATGAAAACTAAACTCATTATGTCTGCCTACCTGCCAGTGTCTACCTGCCATTTCTTTTTGTTAATTTCCTTTACTTCTTTTTATTTTGTTAAATTTCAAAGACTATGTACGTCTACCTGCCATTTCTATAGAGCTGAATTTTTTCCTCATATCTCCAGTCATCTAGCCAGAAACTTGGGACTTAGTCTTCTTTTTTTTTTGAAAGTAAGAAAGAGAAAGAGAAAGAGGGAGAGAAAAAGGAGTCTTGCTCCATTGCCCAGGTTGGAATGCAATCTAAAAATAGGTATTAAAAACCTCTTTTATGCCGATAATTGTGCTTAATAGCGGAGACAGGAAGGAATAAGGGAAGAAGATAACAAACAGCCAACCAATATTTCATTTAAATCTGTGAAATGCTATGCAAATGCTGAAGAGTGATTTACTTTCAATTATGTGGTCACTTTCAAAATAGGTGTAATATGTTACTGAGAAAAATGTATGTTCTGTGGACCTGGGTGAAGAATTCCATAAATATGCACTGAGTTTACTTGTTCCAGGTCTGAGTTCAAGTCATAGATGTCCCTGTTAATTTTCTATCTTGTTGATCCGTCGAATATTAACAATGTGGTGTCAAAGTCTCCCACTATTATTGTGCGGGAGTCCAAGTCTCTTTATAAGTCATTAAGAACTTGTCTTAGGTATCTGGGTGTTCCTATATTGGGTGCATATATATTTATGATCATTGACTCCTGTTGTTGCATTGATCCTTTTACCATTATGTCATGTCCTTCTTTGTTTCTTTTAGTCGTTGTTACTATTAAAGTCTATTTTGTCAGAGACGAAAGTTACAACTCCTGTTTTTTATTTATTTATTTATTTTTTTGCTCTCCATTTGATTGGTAAGTCTTCCACCAACCCTTTGTTTTGAGTCTTTGTGTGTCCTTGCTTATGAGATGGATCTGGATACAGCGAACCAATGGGTTTTGACTTTTTATTCAATTTGCCTGTCTGTGTCTTTGATTGGAGCATTTAATCCATTTAAATTTAGGATTAATATTGATATTTGTGAGTTTAATATTGTTGTTTAATGCTAGCTGGCTATTTTGCCCATAAGTTGATATAGATTCTTCATTATGGTGATACTCTTTACCTTTTGGTAAGTTTTTGAGGTAACTGTTGTTCCTTTCTGTGTGTAGTGCTTCTTTCGGAAGCTCTTGTAAAGCAGGCCTGGTGGTGATGAAATCTCTGAGTGCTTGCTTGTTCGTGAAAAATTTTATTTTTCCTTCGTTTATGGAGCTTAATTTGGCTGGATATGAGATTCTGGGTTGAAAATTCTTTTCTTTGAGGATATTGAATATTGACCCCCACTCTCTTCTAGTTTGTAGGGTTTCAGCTGAGAGATCTGCTGTGAGTCTCATAGGCTTCCCTTTATGAGTAACCTGACCTTTCTCTCTAGCTGTCCTTAGAATTTTCTCCTTTATTTCAACCCTAGTGAATCTAACGATTATGTGTCTTGGAGTTGCTCTACTTGAGGAATATCTTGGTGGTGTTCTCTGTATTACCTGAATTTGAGTATTTTCCTGCCTTACTAGGTTAGGAAAGTTTTCCTGAATAATATCCTGAAGAATATTTTTCAGCTTGGATTCATTCTCTTCATGACATTCAGGTACACCTATCAAACATAAATTAGGTCTTTTCACATAGTCCCATATTTCTTGGAGACTTTGCTCATTCCTTTTTACTCTTTCTTCTCTAATCTTGTCTTCTCGTTTCATTTCATTAAGTTGGTCTTCGACCTCTGATATCCTTTCTTCTGCTTGATCAATTCAAGTGTTAAAACCTGTGCATACTTCGCGGCGTTCTCGTATTGTATTCTTCAGTTCCATTAATTCACTTATATTCCTCTCTAAATTGTCTATTCTCGTTAGGATTTCGTCAAACCTTTTCTCAAGGTTCTTAGTTTCTTTGCATTGGGCTAGAACATGTTCTTTTAACTCACAGAAGTTTCTTATTATCCACCCTCTGAAGCCTAAACCTGTTAATGGAACGCACTCGTTCTCCATCAGGCCTTGTTCCCTTGTTGATGAGGAACTGTGATCCCCTGTAGAGGGAGAGGCATTCTGATTTTGGGTATTCTCAGCCTTTTTACGCTGGTTTCTTCCCATCATTGTAAATTTATCCACCTGTCGTCTTTGTAATTACCAAGTTTCAAATT